TGATAGCTGGAAGTCTGTCCTGCTCTGACTTGCATGGCCTGGCTTCAGTAGCAGTGTCCCCATTGTTGCCACAAGATGGCAGCAGTGCTGCATTCACAGAAGCTCTCCTTCCTCTTCTCGTTTCCCTGTTTGAACTGATTCCTGGAAGTTTCAGCTCTGACACTAGCTATCTCTCAGGCTGTAGGGAAGACACCAGAGCCAGCAGAAGGTAGAGCCCACCTTCCAATGCCCCTGGTAGAGCCTGGTGTACAGATTAGTGGTTCCTCTTCATGTACAGCTGCAGCTGTTTCTACAATTCAGGAAGTCAGGAGGGCACCATGGCGCCATCCTCAGAGCCCAGAATGAAACAAGTAGAAGATCACACCTATAATCTCCGTGTTCAGAAGGATAAGGCAAGATGGCTGTTAGGAGTTCAAAGCCAGCCAGGGTTACATTATTTCAGGCTTAGCCTGGGCTACAGAAGGATACCTGTGTCAAAACAGAAAGAAGGCTGGAGAGAACACAAGGCAAGAAGCCCAAGTCATCTGTAGAGATAGGAAATCAGGGTTAGACTATGCTGCCCTCCAGACCGGCAAGAAAGGAAAGCATCTATCAGCAGGTTGGATTGACAGGCAGAGGGGAAGAGCTAGCAGGCCTCAAAAGAAAGTGAGACCAGCTCGGTGGTGGCTCCTGCCTTTAATCCTAGCACTCAGGAAGCTAGGGCAGGAGGATCTCTGAGTTTGAGGCCAGCCTGATCTACAGAGCAAGTTTCAGGACAGCCAGGGCTACACAGAGAAACCTTGTCTCGAAAGAAAAAAGGGGGAAGTGAAATTCAGGCTAGGGTCCCACCCTAGTAAAATGGACTATGGAGGGGATTATGAGTAGCTGTCTCCTATTGGATGCAGCCCTCACCAGAGCCCTGGGAAACTGCATTTAAAGGTAAAGTGAGACCAGCTAGATCAAGGTCCAGTTTTTGCGTCACTTCAAGAAGGATCCTGGGAGCTGGAGAGATGGGTTAGTGGTTAAGAGCACTGGCTGCAGCACTCTGGAGGCAGAGGCAGGTGGATCTCTGTGAGTTCCAGGACAGCCTGGTCTACAGAGTGAGGTCCAGGACAGTCTCCAAAGCTACACAGAGAAACCCTGTCTTGAAAAACAAAAACAGCCAAGAGTTGGTGGCATATGCGTTTAACCCAGCACTCAGGAGGCAGAGGCAGGCGAATATCTATGAGTTTGAGACCAGCGGGGTCTTCAAGGACAGCTAGTTCCAGGACAGCCTCCAAAGCCACAGAGAAACCCTATCTCCAAACAAACAAATAAAATTAGAAGAAACAAAAACAATCAAAAAAGAGCACTGGCTGCTCTTCCAGAAGACCCAGGTTCAGTTCCTGGAACCCACGTGGCAGCTCACAACTGTGTCTCCAGTTCAGGAAATCTGGCACCCACACACAGACATACATGAAGGCAAGATACCAATGGATATGAAGTAAAAACAAATCATCTAAAAAACATTTTTAAGAAGGAATTCTAATGGCGTTGGGTTGGTAAGTTCTAAATTCTGGGCCTGGGCCTATGCATGGTGGCTGGGAACATCACTGTTTGCACATTCATGTATAGATATGCACTTTTGTGTTGTGTTTACTGTTTCTCCCTTTTGCAAAGCAGTAATCAGACTGGGCCCAGTATTACCCATATGTAGCACAAGTAATAAAAATCCAGAGACAGATATTGGGGTTCAAACTGAAGATCAGAAAAGCAAAGCAGCCAAGTAGAGTTCTCACCTCTACCAAGGCTAAGAACAAAGAGGGGTGATCTTGTCAGTCAGAGTGACTGCAGACTGCATTGCTCTCCACCAAACCCCAGACTGCCCTGAGACAGCCTGATATTCCTCTCTAGTGCTGGGATTAAAGGTGTGTCATCCCAAGTGCTGGAATCAAAGGTGTGAGCTCTGTTTCTCTTTTAGACTGATTCACTCTCATGTAGCCCAGGGTGGCCTTGAACTCACAGAGATCCATCTGCCTCTGTCTCTTGAGTGCTGGGATTAAAGGTGTGGCTACCACTGCCTATCCTCTATGGCTACCTAGTAGCTTAGGTGTGTGGCTAACTAATGGCTTAGCTCTGCATTATGATCTTGGGGTAAGGTTTATTTTGTCAGATCATAAACAAAATATCACTACATCTGGGCCGGGCGTTGGGGTGGCGCACACCTTTTATATATATATATATATATATATATATATTCACTACATCCACTGGAGACACTACCTGCCCAGCCTCCATCTGTGCAGCCTTGCTGCCTCAGGCAGAACCCGTAACCCAAAGGACAGAGTTGGGGATAACCAGACCACTTGGCTACAGACTCTGAGACACACTTGCCAACCTTGGCCTCAGCCTCATGGACATGCTCATTCATGAACTCCTAATCCTGCACTGTCCTTGAAGGATTTGCTCCTGGATCTGCAAACTGCTGAGCCTGGGCCTTTCACTGGCTCCTTGCTTTACTTCCATTGTCTTTGCTATCCCCTCCTGGTACCCATGCCCTCACCCCCTCATCACTGTTGTGCCAGGAGCCCTACCTCTAGTCCACCAGCTAGCTACAGGTCCTGAGAAGACACCTATGCTTTCTCCTGTATTGTACAAAGTGCAGTGACCTGGAGGAGATAGACTGGAGCTGAGGATCAATGATGCATTACAGCCCCTCCTCTTCTATCAGCCTTGGCCCATTTGTCATGCTGCCGTCATAGATGGGTTGCCCAGGCGCACAGGCACATAGGCCCACACATACCTCCAGTCACCAGGAACCCTCCCAGCATAGCCTGAGGTGCCTGCCACATGAACACAAGAAGAGAGTATTGGTGAGATCCGAGGTTAAACTTTCAAGGTGAGTTATGAGTACACATGCAAGTGCCCATGAAGGCCAGAGGGAACAGAAACTCCTGGAACTGGATTTGCAGGTGGTTGTGAGCCACTGGTGTGTGTACTGGGAGCTGAACCTGGGTCCTCTGTAAGAGCAAAAAGTACCTTTAACCTCTGAGCCATTTCTCCAGCCTAGAGGCTGAGTTTTAAAGTCATTTGTTTTTCATGTGTATGGGTGTTTTTGCCTGCTGTACGTCTGTGCACTACTTTTATACAGTGCCCATGGGGGCTAGAGAGGGCTGGCCTTCTGGAACTAGAGTTACAGATGCTTGTGAGCTGCAATGTGAATGCCTAGAATCCAACCCTGGTCCTCTAGAAGAACAGTTAGTGCTCCTAATTCCTGAGCACTAAAGAGTTTTTAAGTTATTACCATATTAAATACACACACACACACACACACACACACACACACACACACACACACACCTGAGTGCACATGTGCACAAGTGGGCATGTAGAGGTTAGAGAGGAACGTATAGGAATTGGTTCTATCTGTTCACCATGTGGTCCTGAAATCAAACTCAGAATTTCAGGCCTCGTATTTACATTCTGAGCCTAACCATTGTTTGGGGTTTTGTTTATTTCTGTTGTTTTTCCCCCTTTTTTGAAACAGGGTTTCCTGTAGTAAACGCTGGCCTCAAATTGATTTTGTACAGCCAGGTGGTAGCACCTTTAATCCCAGCACTCGGGAGGCAGAGGCAGGCAGACACCTGAGTTCGAGGCCAGCCTGGTCTACAAGGCAAGTTCCAGGCCAGCCAATTGACTGTGTAGCTGAGGCCGACCTAAACTCTAGATCCTTCCTTCCTCCTCTACCTCCTAAGCTGAGATCACAGACATGTGCCACCCCCCTGGGCTGAGGCTAGACCTTTTCCTTCGTAAAAGGGACATGAAAGTGAGTGGTATTGTCTGAGCAGTTACAAAGCGGCCAAAGGATTGGGAACAGGCTCACCACATCTGGGGCAGCTACTGGATGACATGGATCCAAGTCTGCTCAAGTTGAGACTCATACTGTGGGATTTGGAAACTCAAGAAGGGAAGAGCTGCAGCAAGCCCTGAAAGGGGCAATACCACAGCATCCCAGTTACCCTGGAAGAAGGACATCAGAGCACAGAATCAGAAAGGAAACTGTGGCGCATGCATTTAGTCCCAGCACTCAGGAGGCAGAAACAGGT